TTTCCCAGCACTTTGAAAATTGTAAATTCAGCAAAACATGAATATAGAACCAATATACTCAAAAGAAAATGATATTTTGCAGAGATGTGACAAGCAGCTCCAAACTGTTTTCTTTTTTCATCTAACATTTTTTTCTTGCCAACCCAGTAGTTTTTATTAAAACCTGTTGAGGCAGTTGTAAATATGAAATGTAATCACTGGAAATCCTTTTGAAATGGGTTAGGTCAAGGGAAGAGAGTAAAAAAAATTTTAAATATAAATTTAGATTTCCAAAAATATGTAACAGCTTTATAAAGTTTCATAGAGAAACACAGTTTGAGAAACTCCTTTATCATGATAAGTTACCTAAATAATACCTAAATAAATAAATATTCATACAAACGATTGAAAGAACATTTGTAATTTATGGCAGAGGACTCAGACATTTAAAACAATAGAAGTTACACTCAAATTAGGGTTCTCAAGTATGGGCTTTCACGTTTTTTGCTTTTATAAAAACATATAACATTTGTCAGTCATAAAATCAACAGATTACAAATCGAAGGAGCATAGACGATTTAACGATTTATTCTAGGCCCAGTACACTGACTTCCTTCTGTTGTGTTGGCCTTTTTACCCCTTCCCTTCTACTTAAAATCCTCAGTCAATTTTAATTAGGCCAATTGGAAATATCATTAAGCTTTGCCATTTGTGTGTGTGGGAACCTCAGCACCTTCATTTGCTTTAGAGGCCTTTTGAATTCCACCTTTGCCCAAGGGAAGAGCCCTTCCTGGCTAGGACCAACTCCTGGGTGCCTTTTGAAAGTGCTTATGGGCACCCTGAATTGAGGGCACAGTGGTAGAGTCTGTGAGGGGTCCCGAACAGATTGTGTAACTGTTGCACAACCAATGTGTACACGTGTGTCACTAATTTAATTTTAATTTTACTGTATGCGTTTGTATAAGATCCTGCAGCTGTCATGTGCTCATCATCTGTCACTGAACTATCACTAAGCCATGCTGGGCTAAGACAGGATTATAAACGATGAACTGCCATGTGCTCTAAATCTTCTTATTTGCCTAGCCTGGAAGGTATGCCCTGTAAAATTTGATTGGCAGTGTGCTCTATGCTGGCCATTGACTTTTGAAGGCCTTTTCAATTGGTTCTTTGAGCCACTCTCAGTGGCCGTATTGACCATCACCTGCTGATTCCTGCACGTGTCTGACCTCCAACCTCCACCTCTCATCTTTTCCTCACTTGTTTCGTTACTAGCTCAGAGGCTGCAAAACAGGCCCTGTCGCTCTGGTGGCACGTGCACTATATAGGGCATATGGCTGACTGGTTGTATGCAGAAGGGGATAACTGAAGCCAAGCAGACCCGGCACTGTTATTGCAGCAGATGGGGGAAGCGTGGCATTCAATATTTAGACAGATGCCACCTCCTTATTCCACCTGTCTGGAAGTTGGACATTGTACAGAATGAACTGTCTGCCTAATGACGAAGGAAACAAAGGGCACATTTATGAAGCTTAGCAGAGCAGAGTATTTACTGAGCATGCACAATATAATTGTTGACCATAACAATAAACGTAAACTGCTACTAGTCAGAGCGGCTGGTGGATGCACGCAATTACAGTAGGAGCAGGGAATTGCTACTTTTTACCAGCTGTTTTGGTGTCTTTAATTTTGATGACTGGGGGCAATAGAAGGGACTCAAGGTTTGTGGTGAATTCCTCATAGAATCAGATTTTCTCAGATGATAGTCCATGCCCCTTTCTTGTTAAAGTCCTCAGAACAAAGGTCATTTCCTCTTTGTTTTGCATGGTTCTTACGAATTCAGTCCTTAATTTTCTCATCTATGAATAGTTTCTAACCAAGCAGAAAACGAAGAAGTTATCTTTGTAGCTGCTACTATTTTGATGTGTTTGGCTTCAGAGTAAACATATCTTTTTCCTTTCAATTCAAAATACTGACATTTCTGAAACATGATGAATTATAGATTTAGTTAGAGACGAAAAATGGTGTGCATTCTGTAAGGGTGTGGATTTTTCCTGGTAGATCATTCAGTATGGTCTTTTTATATATCATTGTAACTGTAGGCATTGATGGAAGGTTTCTTTCATAGAGAAGCAATGAATAGAATTCTCTAAGCCAAGAAAGTTGAAGGCAATAATTTACAAAAAGTAATCAATGACTGAACTTTTTCAGAAGCACAGAACATCATTTCTGTTTTAGAATTGGCTTGTGTAATAAGACAAAACCCTGTTTTAAAAGATTCCTCCATTATCTATTATCAGGAGCATTGCTGATCTGGAAAACCCAGAATTATTATTCTTAGGGAAGCCACCAATTAACAACCTTAGTTGAATTAAATAACTGAGAAGCACTTGAAGACATGGAACTTTTTCCTTTTGCTTTGATTTGTTTTCATCCAGGTCTAATGTTTTTTGAAGCATTCTTTTTTGGTTCATTTTTCTTCAGTGATTATTTCACATTCAAACTCCATCTGATGAAAGGCATATGGAAGGGAAGGGAGGTCATTCCTAATTGAACAACCTAGGACTCGTGAGGTTAATTACAGATATTAACGCTGCAGTTCTTCAGCTTCTTGCCCTCAAGAAGCCTCTAGCTTCCAAATGACCTGGCTGCAACAAAGAGACTCTTCTTTAGCCCATTAACTAATTGATAAAAATGTGAGTGTTTAGAATGAGTCTAATTAAATCACCGAGCCTTACAATTACTCGTCCATTTGGTAGCTGTTGGGAGATGGGTAACCTCAGCTGGCATTGTAGGGGAATAAAAGATAAAAATAAAAGGGAGCTTAACCAAGATCATTTTGAAAGCTGTTCATTTGAAGACAAAGTACACATTTGCCTGAAGCGTCTACATTGCTACTTCAAATGTGTTCCCTCTTTAGGGTAGCACAATCTCTGAGAAAGAAAATAATGTCTTTTTTCTTCTTCTTTAAGAGCAGGCATGCTCCACTTTGTCTAATAAAGTTACATGAGTGGCTGGGGAATTTTTTCTGCGTTAGAATTAAGCTAAATTCCTTTACAGCTTGGAACACTGAAGTTTGTCCATTGAGCTTTATTTTAAGGGCCGGCAAATGTCTTAAATAATAGACATTTAAAAACCCAGAATGGGCTCTGGGACGTCTGTCTTTGGAGTCTTTCTAACTCACTGTTACTGCAGTAGCCCTGGCTCATGGCCTTTCCTGAGGGCTGCAAGGCTGGAGCCTGCCTGGGCCCTGGGCGGAGGGGTGAGAACCACCGACTCAACAGTGGCGGGTCCAGCAGAGCATGTACAATGGAATCAGCCATGCAGCTCAGACCGTGACTTCTTGTCCCCAGATGAGAGATGTTCATAGGCTCCTTAGTGGGGAATAAGGATAATATGATACTTCTCACCAGAGTTTTTAAAGCAGCCTGTTAATCCAAGTGTCAAAGGATCTAAAAGGGGGAAACATTATTTCTAAAGACCTATTGAATATCTTTTTCCTATTTATTAAAAAATTACTCTATTAGTTTTCTCTATTCATTAAAAATAGTTGAAAAGCCAACTTATTCTGATATGTCAGCTAATCTAGGCTGACATCAGACTTCACTGAAACAGGAGAGAAGCTGGATAAGGGTCCTTAATTTTTGATAGTGCCTTTGTAGTAGAAGGTCATAAAAATAGAACTATGGCTTCCTGAATAAGAATGAGTATTCTGTCCTATACTTAACCAGGTGTTCATGCCTTCACTATTAGCTCTGAGAGATGGCTACTTGCTCCTGTTGGAAGCATTCAGACAGTGACTAAGCAACAGTTATTTTCGAAGTTTTTATGATGTCAGATGGATGAATATACATACCAGCATATGTCAATTCTCCCTAGGCACATTCATTGCCAGAGACATTAATATTGATGAACAGTGGGCTAATCCATACACTCTGCATTAATATAAACCCAAGCCAAAAGTGTTAGAAGTACATTCCACTTTCTATCATTTACTTATAGTCTCCAAGAGGAAGTATTTCCTTTCTGATTATCCTGTCATTCAACTCATGCTAATTAATGAGTGTAACAGAACTTCAGCAGACAGTTTGGTTGCAGGTGTATTCAGACCAAGGGAGATTTAATTACTTGCTAATTGCCTGGTGTCCAAGGTAACATAGTATTATAGTTGCAAATGCTCTGGTATTAATCCATCTTAAAGAAGTGCAGTGTGGCTCAGTGTCTACATTCAGAGACTCCTGGAGGATGCAGTTGGCATTCCTACAAGTGCACTGAGGATGAAGGATCATGTCTTTTGTATTCAGGACTAAATACCCAGTGTCTGGCATATGGTAGGACACATAGTAGACACTCAGTAAATATTTTTTGAGTAAGTGAATGTGAATGAAAGGAAGCCAACAACAAATACAGTATGAATTATCCAAGCACAGGAAGAAAAGCTGTAACTTTGGACGTTAAAAACAAAACAGAGGAAAAAAGGAAGAAACTAACGTTTTCTGAGTAACTTCTGCAGGCCAAATACTCTAAATTTACCTACGTTAAATTATCTCATTTTATCTTAGCAGGGTAAAAGCTCTGGCTCAAATCACAATTCTTCCTCTTACTAGCTCTGGGTCCTTGGCCAGTTTATCTAAAAGCTTCAGTTTTCCCAAATATAAAATAGAGGGTGTGGGAATAATGTTTAACTCAAGGAGTAGTTGTAAGGGCTAAACAAGATATATAAAATGTCTAGCATATGGTAGATAGTCAATAAAGCAGTTATGACTTTTATTTTATAATGGTATATAAAGTAGCTGTTATAATTACCATTTTATAGAATGGATATTTCAGACTCAGGGAGGTTAAATAATTTGCCCAAATGCATAGAACTGTCAAGGGTCAAACAGAGCAGCCTGACTCAAAAATCCCATGCTTTTTCCATTACATCAGACTACTCAAATGATATCCTGTTATCTGAGTAGATGTGACTTGATGACACTGATTCTGCAGTGAATCAGACCCCAAAGCCAGCCACTAAAAGTAAGCTGGGTAGTTTTGGAAACTACTCTAAATTTTGGAGCCCAGCATATAGCATGGCAATAATGAATCTCCACCCGTGTCATGGATTGTGGTTTACCAGCATTGAAATGCTGCTTTCTGTGTCACCCTGATTCTGGAGTTGACATGTTGAAAGAATGGGCAATAAAACCATCAGGAAAGTGCTGCCCAGTTACCTAACGTCAAGTAGCCAAAAACCAGATCAACAAAAGAAGACAATGTAAGGGCACACTAAACTACAACTCAAACTTCAGAGCCTTGTGTTAGATGAATGGGAGATTGCACCTTCTAAGAGGGCAGCTTGTTATTCATCTTAAGTAATAGAGTGGATTTTTGGCCCAAAGTTATTGAGTATTTTGGGCCCAATTTCAAGTCAGTCTGAAAGTGTCTGCTGCAAAGAAGGTATATGTGTTGATTTGTTAATCTGATTGGCCACACCCAGAACCTTCTGATGTCATCTTTAGTTAAGAAGGGCAATGGCTCCTTTAGCTTGTGAGATGAATGCTTGGGAGTAAAGACACTGGGTTTTTCTAGGTGCTATTTCTGACCTTGGCTTTACATAGCACCCTGAACTGAAATCAACCATTCTTATCCCTCCTTTCAGAGCTAACTATGCAAGGAAGTCAGTTTTGCGATCTTTTCAATGTCTATGGCTGAGGCTCATAGTTCCTTGACTACAGATTTTGGCTTCTCTCCTGCCAGCCATCATACCTTTGGCCACAAGCAGGACCTCATCAGACCGTGTGAATGGCTCAGATTGACTCATCCTGCTGGGAAGTCATCTTAAAGTACATGATGGATGATCAGGTATAGTCTTGTTCCTCACCGCCACCAGGATATTGCTCTTTCATTTCCTCCTCATATTTCAGTCCCCTTGTACTTACCTTCATAACAAATTCTGATGCTAGTCACTAACATTAATAACCAAGACTTTGCTTTCCCTAGGGATCTCTGCCTTATAAGTGGTGGGGCAGAGACTGCCAACTGTTCACTAATTATCTGTTTCCTCTTCCTTTAGGGCACCTAGTTAGTCTACATTTCCCAGATTTCCTTGCAGTTATGTGTGACAATGTGACTGAGTTCTAGACCATGTGAATGGTTCAGAGTGACATCTGTGCACCTCCATGCTTTTCCCCCATTCTGACTGACTGGGATGGAGAATGATCAAGTTGACTTTGGAAGTCATGGGTTGAAGATGGCAGAACCTCTGTCATCCTGGGTCCCTGAATAGCCATGTAGAATAGCTCTATCTCTGACTTAACACATTCCTGGAGTATTTCAAGAAAAAGAAATTTGGTGCCTATTTTTGACAGGGGCTTGTAGTACCATAATTAATACAATCTGGGCCTCTACTGTGGAATAAAGGGCATGAGCCAGGGCAAAGGGAATGCCAAGTACCACCAAACAGATGGTGGAAACATTGAGGGCTAGGATTGTCTTCCATTCTGCTTTTCCTATATAGAGGTAACATCCCTCCCTCCATAGGCCCCTGGATTTAAGTGACATTGGGAGCAATGAAAATAAGGCTGTTCCTCCAGAGTCTGTTAATTTGTGAGGTGGGCTTCATTTATGGAAGGGCTCACCCCATGGAGAATCTCAAATGCTAAATTAAGCCACTGAACTAAAGTTAAGCCTCCCCAGTTCGGGTAACAATGAGGGACAGTTATAAGAAAGTCATTAAGCATCCTGATTCTTCCGCCTTTGGGTTTTTTATCATCTAGATGGAATGTAATCACCTTTTTCTCTGTGGTCAAGCTACAGATGAAGGCCACTCACATTATCTGTTGGAGGAGAAATATTTCTCAGAAAGGCTCACTAGTCTGCTCATTCCTAACCCACTGTCATGAATTAATTAGCCATTTGGGGAGGGAGAGCTTTGTTTTAATTTTGTCAGAATCAGTAGAATGCTTATCTTACCAACTCATGGTTAAGAAATTTATGTGAACCCTTAATTACCACAAAGGACAATGAGCCAATGAATTTTGACTTGGGGAGATGTCATGTAGACACCTCCTGTCTGTAAAGGCAAGCGTTTTAAGATTACAGAATCCATTCTTACATCAGCTACTATAAATTTTAGTATTTGCATTCCACTCCCCAAAGGGGCAAATCCATACATTTCCTTTCTAAGTTTTATGCAAGCTCCCTTCTCAGACTCTGCAATGTTATCAAGGAACTCAACTTTGATGAAATTAGGATTTCTCATCACACTTTCTGAGAGAGGTTAGAGGCTTTCAATCCTTATCAAAGGCAGTGAGAGAGCATCAGTGTGAGAGACACAAAAAGCCAAAGGCAGCTATTGGATCAGAATCTGAAAGTCTAACAAATGCCTCAGACTTGAGTAAATCCCCACTAATAAGCACATTCTCTATCACAGCAAAGTTGAAGAGCATAATCTGAAACCAGAAAGGGAAGCATCAGGCAATTGGGAAGTATATGAAGATAATTATCAGCCTGAACCCCCAGCCATCGTCTGTGGGCCAAGGCACACCATATGCACTGTACATTGATTATGATAGTAAAGGGATTACAATTCATCTTGGGCATTTTGTAAATTACTTAAATCCAGCAGATGGGAAATTAGCAGGTCCTGTCAAATAGAAAATTCAACATTAACTCAAGTGGGCTGATAAAAATCATCATAAACCATTTTAGAATATCCCTCAAGCACAAAGCTCAATGATTAAATCAAACACCTCTCAGCTCCCATCCAATGGTCATTTCATAGTATGCTAAATCTACAGAATGTTTTGCCCCTGACGTTCAGAGGTTACAACTCCAATTTACATAGACTGAGGCTGTGACACTGTATAGGATTAAAAGCCTTTTGGAGTCTGTCCCTAAAGAACATTTAGCCAGGCAACATCCAAATAGGACAAGTATTTTTCAGAATGATTGGCTTCAAGTACTGTTAGAGGGCTAGATTCACATAGTATAGGTAAATTGTATCAATCAACAGAGAACTCATTATATAAACACATGAATAGATGGATAAAAGAGAACAATGTCTATACATTAGGTTGGAGACTTTCCAAAAGAAGATGCCAATGACTGACACTTGCTCTTTTGGTGCTGAGACTGGATGTGAATAGGCAACTTCTTAAGGGTGAAGATGAGCAGCAAGTTTCTTCAGAGCAGGGCAGTACCTGGGAAAATGGGTAGAGTAGTAACAGGATGTTGAGCAAGCAGTGCACCCCAAGAGCTGGTGTTAGAATCTCAAAGTTGTATTTTTATAGACCAGCCCATGTAATATTCAGTATGAGTCTGAAATAGCCCAACTGTGTTACTTCAATGGGAGTACCAGTCTTCATTAACTCTGGTGGTGGGGAGATTCTGTGGGGCCAGTGATGTGCTTTGAAGCATTTGCATTACTCAAGTGGTTCCTGATCTAGGGGAGAAAAAAATAAGAATGGAAACCTGCTGCTCTTCCACGGGAGGCCTACACGCTGCCGCTGGGGCTGCTGCCATGTCTCTAGTAATCCCTAAGACGTTCCAGCACGTTTTGCGAGTACTCAACGCCGACATCGTTGGGTGGCAGAAAACAGCCTTTGCCATCACTGCATTTAAGGGTGTAGGGCAAAGATATGCTCATGTGGTGTTAAGGAAAGCAGGCATCGAACTCACCAAGAGGGCAGGAGAGCTCACTGAGGGTGAGGTGGAACGTGTGATCACTGTTATGCAGAATCCACGCCAGTACAGAATCCCAGAATGGTTCTTAAACAGAAGGACATGAAGAATGGGAAGTACAGCCAGGTCCTGGCTGATGGTCTGGACAACAAGCTCCGTGAAGACCTAGAGCGGCTGAAGAAGATTCACGCCCACAGCGGGCTGTGCCACTTCAGGGGACTTCGTGTCCAAGGCCAGCACACCAGGACCACAGGCCACTGTGGCTGCACCATGGGTGTGTCCAAGAAGAAATAAATTTGTGGGCATTGTCTGTTAATAAGTAGTTTATACAGTTATGGCTTAAAAAAAAAGAAAGAAAGGAAACCTGCTAATTGGGTTATTATTATTCAATCCTGTTTCCTCTGATACCAAACTTGCTGACTCAGAGCCGTGATTACAAAGGTTTGTGAAGACACAATGCCATTCTGTCACTTGGAGTTTTATTTTTAATTAAAGTGAATTAAAGCAATTTTTAGAAGTTCTTGAAGTGATCATGGGATTACAAAAATCTGAGTCAGGAACAATGGCTCCAGGAACTTACTCTCCCCAAGTGAGCTCAGCCCTTCCGAAGAGTTCATCCTCTAGTGGTCGTTTCTGTCGAGAGAAAAAGAACTTCACGATAAAAAAAAAGCACAGCTGAGAGTCATATTTTTCACTTATACTGGAAACTCAGAGACTACTCTGTGTATCTCTCTTTTGAAATTGGGCTGCACCAGGCATGTCTGGCTTGACTGGGAGGAAGGTGTCCTCCCTAAGAGAAGGGACTTCTTAGCTGGACACACAGAAGCCACTTTTTATAACTAAGATCCTTAGGTCCCAAACCATGGTAAACTGAGCAGGCGTGTCATGTGCCCAATATATAACTGGACCTCTCTTGTGGGCGAGTTTGTTCTGGACGTGATTTTCATTGCCATCCTCGAAACCTGTCCCATCCTCACCGTAGATAGCAGTCATTTCTCCTTAAGCGTCCACCTGTGCCGAGCACTGTATTAGGTACTTCACATATATTACTACTAATCCTCACACAAATCCCATGAAATAATCTTATTGCCCTTTTTGCAGTGAGGAAAATGAGTCTCAGAGAAGTTAGGTGACTTACATCAGGGACACATAGATGGTAAGCAGCTAATGTCGTATTTGAACCCAGGTCTGTCTGATTCTAGCTCATGCATGCTCTGCTCCCTTAACAAGGTATATATTTGTACCTTGCCTGTTGTTCGTGGGAGGTTTCTGTGGCCTACCTGTGTCACCAGAATATTCAGTCAAGATGGAACCAAGTTTCTCATGGAAGATATTTTACAGCATTTTTGTTTCCACGTGTTCAGCTGGACCTGTGCCTTTCTCTCACCCCAAACTGCTTCCTGGAGTAACTTGAGCACTGGGGAGAATAGGAACTAAAAATTATGTGCTGTGAACCTCTCCCAGGAGAAAACATCATGCTGATTTTATACAGGCCAAAGGCTCAGGTGTATTTTGTGTGGATTTTCTCAATTGGTGACTTCAATGTTTTTGCATATGGCACTTATTAGGGGCTCTCCAGGGGCCTCCTGCTTCACGGAACCTCCTTCCTCCAAGATACTGCAATCGAATCAGGAGGCAAAACAGACACACAAAGTAAGCAGGTAGAGAACAGGGAAGTGCCAGATTGTGCGGAGCCACTGCTGGAAGTAAAATACTGTTGTTCAACAGAGGAGATACTTTCCTGGGGGGGTGTGTTTGTGTGTGTGATATTAACGGATTTATATGAAGACATAGTGAATCTAAGGAGATAAGGCTTTTTCCAGGTGCAGACACCTGGGAATCAGAATCTAAGTGTGAGTGGTCAGGACTGGAGAAGTAGGTTTCCAAGTTTCGTATAGGATGATATGAAGGAAATAAGAATTTTAAAGTTCTAGAAGATTAAATTTAGAAAGATACAAGTAGAGGATCAAGGAGTATCTTCAGTCAGAGGGCCAGGAGGAGAAAGAGCCAGGGAAAATTATACTATAGAAATGGAGAGAAGTCTGTGATGTCACCAGCCACAGAGAGGTGAAGCAAGATGAGGAAATGGCAGCTGGGGTTCTCTTGGGAAGGGGTCTAAATATGGTTCAGGAATTCTGAGTTACTGATAGGTAAGAAGGCTGCCATATAGAAAATCTTGTAACTTTACAGCCTCAGTTTACCTACCTTAAAAACTTGGATATGCCCAACCTGGAAACCAGCAGAATCTAAACTAATGAATTTGTACAGATTCCAAGATGTAAGTCATTGAATGAAATGAGGGCGTCTTATATACTGTAAATTTGAATATGCTATGCACTCTTATTTTGCAAGGATTTGAGATGTTTACAGGTAGTCCTGGGGGACACAAGGATGCTCAGAGGGAAAGTAAGTGTCACACTTCAGAGGCTGGTCTTCTAACCCAGGCAGGGTCAATTGGCGAAGCCACATAACTGTTCAGAAAAATAATTGTGTTATCTGCAAAGTGCTGTAGGTGTAATAGCTACAATCATTTTGAAAGAGCTGAAATATTGATAAGCATATTAGAAATAATTAAAAGCTTCTGAACCAAAGCATTTTTTAAAATTTCTAAAAATTTTAATTTACTTTGAAAAATAAAAAGGCATAAGGATATGCTTCAGGCAAACAATTTGCTGGAAGTAATGTATTAGAGTCTTAAAGTGTTTTATTGAAATCTTCTTATCTATGCTTTGGGACAGGAGAACAAGGAGGACACATGACATGGGCCAGATGTGGCCAGAGAGGTTGCTGAGTCTTTCAAAGTAACACAGCCACAGTGAGTTGAGGATCTAACTCATCCTGTCCTCCTCTAACTCTGGTACACACACCACCTTAATTACAGTCCTGACAAACATACCTCATCCTGTGCCTGATCCCTTAACAAATATTTACTTATATAATGAATAAGAGCCCCAAATTGAAATGGCCCAACCGTGGAAATAAATACAGAACAGCTGTCAGAGCTGCTAGCATAAATTCCAAAGGGTGGTCTCTCATCAGAGTATATCCCAGAGGCCTTGGGGAAGGGGTGTTTTGGAAGTGTAAGTGTGGAACATTCACAGTTTAGCATATTTTCCTCTCTGACTGCCAGAGAATAACAAGAAGAGCCAAGTTGTAGACTTAACTAATTAAAACACAGTCAGGATCAGCAAAGATCTGAAATGGGGTCCAGGCTAATGAGGTGCTGGGGCTGTGCCTGGACAGACAGTACTCTGAAAAAGTCCCTGCCCTTTCAAACGGGCTTTGCCCTGACCAAAAGCATGCAATGGGCATCGTGCAGTTGCTCTGTGAATTCTTCAACCAGCCATAACTTGATTGTGCCTTACAGATCTCTATCACTAATAACAGCAACTTGCTCAACATCACTGTTGCCTCTATTTATTTATTTGAAAATTATAACTGCTTTACACTCCCAGCTTCAAATCTGTGTATGAAGGATTTTATGAAGAGTTCTTAAGTTCAAGTAGAAGAATCAGCAGGCATTTATTGTCACTTGTGAAATAGACAAAAGAAAAAGATACGGATTTTACCCTTCAGAAATGTATAATTTATCTGGGAGAACAAAATGTTTATGCAGATGGTCCCCGACATATGATGGTTTGATTTAGGATTTTTCAACTTTATGATGGTGTGATAGTGATATACATTCAGTAGAAACCATCATTCAAATTTCGATCTTTTCCCAGCCTAGTGATGTGCAGTCCAATCCTTTCACATGATGCGCGGCAGAGGCAGCAAGCACCCAGTCAGCCACATGATCACGAGGGTAAACAACCCAACTCTTACCACCTCTCTGGACCTAGGCAGCCACTCTGTTTTTCACTTTCAGTACAGTATTCAATGAACTACATGAGATATCCATGTAGGTCACTGAATTATAAAATAGGCTTTGTGTTAGATGATTTTGCCCAACTGTAGGCTAAGTGTTCTGAGCACATTTAAGGTAGACAAGGTTGTTCGGTAGTTTGGGTGTGTTAAGCGCATTTTCGACTTAATATTTTCAATGTTAATTTCGGCTTGTCGGGATGTAACCCCATTGTAAGTCAGGGAAGATACGTACACAAAAAATTATCAGAAAATGGTTGGTACAATTTGATTAAGAACTAGGCTTTTTTGTTCTGCCTATAAAAGTAATGGGGCTTCAGAAAGTGGTAGGACTAGCTAACATTCATTGAGGTTTTATTACTTGTAAAGTTGTGCGTGCAGTTAACTCCCAAAGCCACCCTATGATGTAGATGCTATTTTATGGAGGAGAAAGTGGAATCTCTGAGAGTTTAAGTGACTGATTGGTGAAAAACAGACCCAGAATTTCAACCTAAGTCTCCTGGACTTTAGGACTTAGTACCGTGTTCTTAATTAACCATGGCACGGTACTGCGTTTCTGTTCAGGGATCCAGGACTCAATTATCTCCAAATTTGCCCTCCTTACTTCTTAGCCTTTTGATTTCTGGATTGAGGTCAGAAATATTTTTCTCACTGTATATAAAATAGCATAAAGAAACCTTAAGATACAGAGTGATGGTCCCACTACCCCTCTTTTCAAAGCATCCCAAGAAATTAAGCATCATATGATGTTTATCAGTGACTGTGACGAGGCAGCTTTTTTAGGTGAGTGAATTTCTGCACCCTGATGAATCTGTGCTTCATTACCAGCACCGAGAAGTACAGGATGCTTTGGAAGCAAAGGGAAAAGAGAACATGGCAACCTAATTGGTCACTGCCATGAATCCATACTCAGGGGACAGATAGCACGACCAGAGGTAATAGCTTACACACATATTCTTGAGCTGTGCAATAGATGGAAAAGGGTCCCAGATGGATTGGGCAGGGGCTTAGTTCCGGGATTATGATGAGACAGTGGGTAATTATTGAGTGGCAGGGCCTCAGCCCTGATTAGTATCTGCAAGCTTGTTCCCCTCCTTCAGAGGAAAGCATTGATAAAGATAAACCATGCTGCTCCGTGTCCTTCCTGCAGCACAAAACAACACATTTCAATCTAACAGGATCAGGTCTCCACTTTGACCACAATCTGTTACCTAGATGTCTTTGCAAATTAATCAGTCCTGCCTGTTTAGCTCCAGTCAGTTTGTACTGCTGAATTAATACATGTACCAGGAGTAACAGAACACATAATTAAATTCTACAGTTTAATCTCCACATAATAATTTTGACCTTAGTCTGGGGCCTCCGTTCTAGCCAGTAGAATGCAGAACAAGCACGACCTTCCCTGGGTGGCTTACGCTAACAGCCCAGCCTACAG